TTGCTACACATGTTTATTCTGCATTTACCCTCACGTGTCTCCTATTACAGAAGTTTGCCCACCACATCTGTCTCCATTATCTGTGAACATCCAGACCCTGAGCAGGAATAACCTTCACTCCAAGATGTGACCTCATGTCATTAAAATGCTAAAGCAAAAAGATGTCATAAGTTTTACTTTTTAAAAATACAGGTAAGGACTATTAGCACTTGGATTTGAAACAGCATTGGACTACTACTAACAGGACTGTTGCAACTACAACTTCAGGGAGTGAGTCCAAATGTTGTTCCAGTACTTTCCAAAAAGTCCCAGCCCTGGGAGGTGTTTCCAGGGTTTTTATTTGTTTTAAATAACTAACCTAAACCTTTTCTGTTGGATATAGATCAACCTATTACTTATGGTGCTCCCCCAGGGAGTGCACACGAAGAATGGATGACTGTTCTCTAGAGCTGCCTGCCCTACTTTCTGTCTTCTACGTTGAAGCAAACACAAGCTCTCCCAGTGAGCCTGTTTCTGTGAAATTTAATCAGGGTCATTAAACCAGGGCCCCTGTGTCCCCATGTTCAAAATACAGCACCTGTCCCATCTCCCTAAACCCTTTGTGGCAATTACTTCCCAAAGCCTTTAACTTCACCACATCCCAGAACACACTTATGTAATAGTGCAACTCTCACTTGCTGCTTTTTTTTTTCTTGTTATTTTTAAGACCTGGATCTTGGCTCTGAACACTTGCAGTAGCACAAGACCAGCATTGCTGTGAGGAGGGGACATGCACAGGTGGTGACAGTGACTTCTCCAGGACCTCTGCAAACAAACTCTACACCACAACCCAAGCTGAATTTCTAACTAGTCAGTCTGGATCAGTTTTAACCTCCATGCAGCCCCCCTAAGGATTTACTGGCCAGCAGAGTCCTTCACTTCAGAGGAAAGATGCCAGGAAAATTGTTCACACCAACAAAAACCATACTGTAGAAAAGCAAACTAAAGTCTCACACTGTGGAGAAATATCCATCAGTCTCTGGGGTTTGGCTCTCTTGAGATTCTAAATGGATATTCAGCCCTTCTAACTGTAGTAAAAACTATGACCTGCTGTTGAAACTGCATAAGATAAAAACTCTTCTAAGTGCTGGTGAGATTGCAAATCTGTAACATGTGCAGCCTCCCTGTTCACCTCCGTGCATAATGATGACTGAATTTAGAGTTACCAGATAAACAACCTGGGAGCAGGGAAAACTGAGGCACTCAGGGCATACACAGAATTAAAAAAAAAAAAACACAAACAACAAAACATAACTATGGGCATAGAGCTTTTGGAGGGGAAAAAAAAAGAAGAAAACTCACCTGTCTCTTGCAGCACCAACATCTAGCACAGCCACACTGGGAACCACCCAGAGCCCACCCTTTTAACATTCAGGGCTTTCCAGGCCTTTCTGATCAAGGAGCAGACTCTCTTTAGCTGATTGCCAATTGTTTTGATACCCATTAATTCTGCCTCTGGGTATCTAATCACCACAGCTGCTGCTGCTCATGCTCCAGTACTCCACCACCTCTCCTCCCAACACTTCCATGCTTTTCTCTGCTCCATGCCCTTCAAAAGCAAACCTACTGTGGGAGCATGCCCAAGGCCTTTGCTGCTGACTGCTGCAGTTTTATCAGCAGGGCACTGGGTGACAGCTCTTGTGCAAGAGAGATTTGGACTAGGTATTAGCAAGAAATTCATTACTTTGAGAGTGGTGAGGCACTGTCAGAGGTTGCCCAGAGAAACTGTGGCTGCTCCATCCCTGGAAGTGTTCAAGGCCAGGCTGAATGGGGATCTAAGGAACGTGGACTAATGGAAAGTGTCCCTGTCCACGGCAGGGGTTTTGAACTGGATAATCTTTAAGATCCCTTCCAACCCAAGCCATTCTGTGATTCTGGACTAGAACTCGCTCCTACTCGCCCTTATTTTGGGAAACTTGCATTTCCCAAGCACGAAACATCTCGCTCCTGTAACTCAGGGAGCCTGTCGAGCGCTCTGTTTGCCGCGCCGAGGGCCCAGGAGGTTTTGCTCAGCTCTCCGCGTTCCCTCGCAGAGGCAGAGGGAGCTGTGCCCGGGCGGCTCCGCCTCCCGCGGGTGCGGGTGCCACGATGAACTGCAGCGATGCGCGGCGGCTGCAGGCGCTGCTGGGCGCGGTGCTGCGGGAGCTGCGCGGCCGCGGCAACTCCAGCGCGGCCCCGCAGGGACCCGGCCCCGGCCCGGGGGCGGACGGCTCGCTGTACATCCTGCTCATCATGATCTTCTATGGCTGCCTGGCCGGGGGGCTCATCCTGGCCTACACCCGCTCGCGGAAGCTGGAGTCCAAACACGACCCCTACCACCTGTACATCGAGCGGGACTGGGGCCCCCGCGGCCCGGGGCAGGCGGCCGAGGAGGGCCCCGAGGGGCAGCGGCTGTGAGAGCGCCGGGACCGGCAGGAGGAAGGGTCTGTCCGGCGAGGGCATCGCTCCTGCTGCCCTCAGGCTTGGGACTACAGACAGCCAGAGACTGCGGGGGAAGCGAAACCCACTGCTCTTGTGCAGGCGAACAGCGCTCAAGGCCTGTCGTGCGGTGAGAGCTGTCCTACAACTCTTGGATTCGTTTGTATCGCTTTTTACAATAAACACCTGCATTACCTACTGCGGCCTTTCAGTACTTGAAGGGGGCTTATGAAAAGGAGGGAGAGCGAGTTTTTACCCGGGCTGGTAGCGATAGGACAAAGGGGAATGGTTTTAAACTAAGAGGAGAGATTCAGACTTGCTTTTAGCAAGAAATTCTTCACTGTGAGGGTGGTGACACACTGGAACAGGTTGCCCAGAGAGGTTGTGGATGCTCCATCCCTGGAAGTGTTCAAGGATGGGGCCCTGGACAACCTGATCTAGTGGGCAGCATCCCTGCCCATGGCAGGATGGAACTAGATGATCTTTAAGGTCCCTTCCAACCCAAACCATTCTGTGATTACATACGTACAGAGACCTCTCTCATTTTTCAGCTTTAGATCTTAGTTTAACATTTTTTTCTTTAAAATCTGTTTGTATTCTACCTTGTTATCTGACTGCAATGCTCTTGCTGCCAGCAGCATTTTGCAGAATTAAAAGCAGGTCCATTATTGCAGTAGGATGCTGCCTTCTGTCACTCTGGAGCACCGACAGCTGTGCCATGGATTGGAAGGCTCAGGTCTCGTTCTGTTAAAGCTAGATGGGTTTGGCTCACCTGGAAGCATTTATCAAAACAAAGAGAGCTTAGAAACTGAAGTTGTTCCCATGAGGAAAGCACCAGTACTGTGGCTTTGCCAACGTACAGGAACTTTTAAAGCCATCAAAAACATCCTTCCACACACAGAGACATGTAATTCCAAGAATATCTTTGTACAAGTTAAACTTTAAGATTAAACCAACATACAGCCTACGTTTTCTACAGAAAAAGTCAGGCAGGCAGAGGTTGTTTTAGAGGTTTTAGACATGTCAGTAGTCTGTGCTTTCTTGGTTTGGGTTTGGGGTGAAGTTTTTTCAGATAAAGATTAATGAACAATTCCAAGGAACAAGTGCTGTCACTAGGAATGCTGCACTACACAATACAAACTACTATTTGGATTTTATACAAACCACAGTGAAGGAAAAAGAAGTTTTGACATTAACTTCAAAGGAGGAGTGATTTTTGTTATAGACTTAAATTTACTAACACTCATGAATATTTTGTCCAACAGAAAACCATTTGTCTTGTACCTGGCAACTGCTGCATCTTGTTCTCTACTGTAACTTTGTGGGGAATCACTTGAAGTGATGACTTTAAAAAAAATCCTTGAGAGGACTGGCAGTTACCAAGTCAGCCTTGTCACTGCAGAAAAACACTGCAAGATCCACAGATCAAATTATGAAGTATCCTTAGATATCAGTGTCTTGTGAATACCTGGATATTTTAATGACTCCAAAGTATGGAGCAGAGAAAAAATTCAAGTTCTAGAAATAATTTTAGTGGGAGTATATGGCATAGTACTGTATGCCAACATTGTATCAGTACATTAAACCTTTAGCTCAGCACAGAAAATGCAGCAGTCAGTATAGTGTGGGAAAAAGGATGTTGGAGAAACCAATAAACTGTCAATATTCTTAAAATCCCCTACCAAGCAGTTGGGCAACAGTAAAGTTCTAGTCAGTTACTTCCATCTGCCAGGATTCCAACAGTATCTCTGGAAAATGAAAATGCTAACTTCAGCCTGGACTTTTGGACAGTCATAAGCCATATATACATATATGTTACACATCTACAGCTGCAGAAGCCGACTGTCTAATGAACTTTCACACTGGGATAACTCAAACACTGTATCAGACACACTAGAAGATTTTCTGTGAGGACTCCCTTCAGTACAATCAGAATTAAGCTGACTACAACCAAAGCTTCCCCCTCTAAAAATGAGGGGATCATTATGCATGTACAAAACCTTTTATTTACCCTGTCTCAGTGATTAACTTCTCTTTCTGCCTGACCACTGCCCATGAGCAGGACTGGCCTGAGAGGCCTTACAGACTCATATCTTAGGAATTATTCAGGACCACTGAACTCAGCTACTTTAGACAATAGGGGAAGGACTGTTACAGGTTTCTGAGATCTGCACACATTAAAGTTTCAATGCACTGGACGCTAAAATGTGTGCTTGACACATTTTGTTTCATATCAGCTGGTTACTAACTGCTTTCCACTGTTTCATCCTACAGACAAATCCGAAGGAAGGCTGTGGCAGTCCCTCCAAGTACCGCTAATTTCTTCATCTGATTTTCCCTTATCTTCATAATCTACTTCTCTTCTCCTCCCAAAATGCAAGTGCAACACCCTGTATTTAGGTCCCAACTAAAAGCAAGGGCTGCCAATGTCAAAAAGTTTGCCCTACATGACACAGTTCAAAAAGAAGGAAAGCACAAGACCTCCTGCCAAGTAACTTAACTAAACACCTAATTATCTGCTGTTCTATCTGTGCTTTTCAACACCTGAAAGAATCACAAGGTCTCAGTGAACTGTAGTAATCTGTGATTTACATCAGTCCATCTGTTCTTATAGTTACAGTTCAACCAGATTAAAGAAGGTAACACCATCGTGCATTAACACACACCCAGGTACTTGAAACACCCAAGAATTCATACTGTGGCATACAGAGACCTTGATAAGTTAGTATTAAGCCTAGCAGCAACATTCATTTCTTTTTGTTTGTTTTACTAAGTCCAGTACATCATGTACTGGTAGGAAATCTTGAAAATCCTTGAAGCTGCAAACTCAGCAGGACTGAAGTGAAATAGGCTGCAAGGAGACAAAAATTAGCCACTGAAACTCAACACATTTTTTTCCAGCAATAGTATATTCTAAGGCACCTTCTAAGAACCTGTATTACTGATGCAGGGCAAAGTGGCCACTGTCTCTGTAGCTTGTTCAATCACTGGACACAAAGGATAACAAGACAGATCTATTTATATTGTTAAATCCAACCTTCTGAAGGAGAAAGCCCAGCTATCAATATCCCACCTCTTCTCAGTTAGGAAGAAAAAAGAAAAGCTTGCTTTTCTAGAAAGACCTCCCCGTTCTTTTCTTTAGGCCAGGGGGAATTTTGAAAGAGCAATTTCTGAACTCACTTTCAACATACCTGCAAAAACATCTGACTTGGCACTGACTGATTTATTATTCCCAGCACTCACAAACCTTTACACTGCATCAGCTGTCAGGGCCTTGCTCAGGATCATTACCAGGAGCGACTGCTTGCAAAGCCTCACTGAAATCTCCACCTTCACACACAGCAAGAACTTTCCAATATATTTGGCACTGTTTCCACAGTACGTTTCTAGAACAATCTGTTTCCACAAAACCACTGACCTTGCATTGGGATTTTCATCTTTTCAGTTGTCAGCTTAAAAGCTGCTGTCTGCACTGAGCAAGTGTTCATCAGTAATTTGATGCTAAATTTCCAGTTACCTCGTGAAGCTTTCCTTATTTGAGTGTTTCATTTCTTCTTAGCAGACAAACAGCAGAGGCACAACACCACGTTCTCAGTGAAAATACTTACAACCCAAGGATCTGGCTCAAATTTTGTTTGACTTCATCCAGGTATGTGCTGGACAGCAGCCTAACCTTCAGTAAAGTTTAGAGGGAAATGTCAACTTGAGGTAGTTACAGCTCAACACCATTTACTGCCTGAGAGTGCTCTGGTGAGGCATTTGCAACAGGGTTATTATTCCAGACACATTTTTGCCCTGACAGAGCTCACAGCCAGCCTGTTCTGCAGTGCCCCAGCACCACATGGCAACAATTAGAACCTACAACACAAGCAGTCAAGATAAGGAAGCCACAACTTATTTCTTGCACTTTTAATATCACAAGAACAAACTATGAAAACTTCTAATAATAATAAAAAAAGATAGAATATCAGGTAGGTGGTTTTTGGTTGGTTTTCTTTTTTTTTGTTTTTTTTTAAAATTAATCTTACAAGAGGTCTTAAACAATTTGAAAAACTTACAAAATATATTCAAGTGCGGAAAGTTATTTTACTGGTAAAACAGCATTTCTTTATAATGTGCTTTTCTCCAGTTAGAGTAAGGAAGTGTAGGCATATCAGAACCATCAGATCAAACTATTCAGACCATCAGAACAAATCCCTTTTCTCCATTCCAAGGAACAGCACAAGTATTTTAAATCAATTTAACTGTGGTATTCTAAAAGAACAAAGCAACATAAAACCAGTGACTGATAAAGACAATACAGGGAACATATACAAAAAATCTATCAAGTCTTCAGTTGCTGCAGTTTCGTATATGGAAGTGCTTGGCTCTTCAGCTGGCTTTGTTTCTAGTTGTACAAGAGTAACTTGGTATCAAACAAAAAAAATGGGAGCATGAACTCCAGCTTAGAGTTTGGAGCATAAACATACTCATTTTCTAGATGTCCATTGTAAATTTTGGGTATTGCAGCAGTCAGCAACAGGGGACACTAAATCAGCTGGATGGTTTTGTACTGAATGAGATAAAAGAATTTTTGTGTTCTCTTCTGCTAATTTAAGTGCAGAAGTTTTAGCAAGCAGCACAGAACTGTATGAAAGAGATTTTTTGTTTGTGCCATTAGTTACTCAGTTGTAAAGCCACTGGTTGACTGTAATAGCTTCATTATCACTTAGTATAATAAATAAAAATATTTTGCAAACCAGCATTTTCAGTTATAAAGAGCAAGAGCTAGCTCTGGTAGTACTGAATCACCCCAAGTGACCCTCATTGAAGATGATGGAAATAGGCAGGAGTAACTGGCACTTCTCCCCAGCCCGAAGCAATTGTGTTCCAAAATATTTCTCTACAAAACCCCTGGGTATGCATACCAAGTCTCATTCCAGCCATAGATCTTACTAAGTAAGAGTTTAAGCTGGGTTTGTCCAGCTAGGCCAGTTAGTTACCTTCCTAAGTCACGTTCCAAGTAGTGGTAGGGTTTTTTTATTTGGTCAGTTTTTTTTAATATTAACTGCAGGAGTCAGATTTAAAAGCAGCTTGCATTTGGATAGCATGAAAATAATAACTGAGAATAACATCTGGCTGAAACACTGCCTCATATATTCTAAATCTCCCAGTCTGCCTAGAAAAAGCTTAAAAATTACTATACAAATTCAAACTTGGATAAAAATATCCAAAAAGTATTTATTCACATGACAATCTTCTCAGGTACTGATATAAGTGTGTGTTCTGGTGACCGCCTTCAAAGTCCAACAAGCCAATGCTACAGTTGCACCCATTACTACATTTTAAAAGGCAAAACCTGTTTTGTGTTTGCAAAGCAGATCTGTAACACCACTTACACAATCAAGAGCAAATTAAACAGCCAGTAGAGTACACCACACCAGTGTCACAGTTCAACAATGCTGTACCAGTTACAGGCATGTTTAGGGTTATGTTGTCTTTTCAAACTCGTATAGGAAATACAAATATATGAACATTGCGTATTCTCTTAAGAACAAACAGTAATTAAATAGAGTGATCCTTTCTTCACTACATACAGAAATAACAATGTATTTACAATATTTACAGTTTTCAAAAATTCTGTTCCTGCACTGGTCTGCAGGAATTCAAATTCTTCAGCCTGAAAAATAGGTACACAATACTTCTGACCATAAACAGCCTCTGAATAGACACAAATTACTAATTCTAACTTACTGGTGTAAAGACTAGAGGGCCTGAAAAGGAAATACAGCTGCCCATTTCACCTAAACACTCCGTTATTTGTGGGATTATATCGCAAACTACAGATGCTTTAGGATGTTTTACACATGTCAGATATTGCTCATTTTCACAGTTTTCTCCATTTAAGCCATAGAACCAGTGAGCTGCAGCTGTAACTGCTTTCAGACTGCTGTTGTCATTGTCACATGGGTTATGATGGGAGTTACAAGCTCCCCTCCTGTATTTTTAGTTACAAGCAAGTGCTCACAGATACAGCTACATTTTGGGGTTTGTTTGTTTGTTTTTTACTCAGCTTAAAACAGAAACAGACCAATTTGAAACAAATCTGCTGATATCCAGATTTACTCTTAAGTTCCCAAGTTAAGACAGACACTCTCAACCTGCAGTCTTGAAAACTATTTTAAAGCAGCTGAAAGCTTTAAACTGCAAATTCAAAGCAAGACACACAAAACGTCCCAGAATCAATAATTAAAGGCCATGTTTACAAAGAACATGAAAAATACAGTAAAAACCTGCATGAGAGGAAGATAGTGTTTGTGGTGCAGAGCTGCTGTTCTTGAAAATAATTCAAGCACCTGTTCTGAATAACAGTACTGAAGAGAAAAATTGAAGGCTTCACAGTAATACACACTTTCAGTGCCACTTTTTAACTACAATGGTTCTTGAAAAGACAAAAAGGATTCAAAAGTTGCAGACTTAACATGGGAAAAATAGTCCAAACCTCACAGCAACAGAATGAACAGTTAAAGCAAACAGAAATCATGTTACCAACCTATTTCTAGGTCACTGTAAGACTTCAAAAGAAAAAATATTCAGTTTGAAGTCCTTTACATGCATGTGGCAAGTTGTTGGCACAGGAGCTCCGAATCATTCAGCATGCCCTACATGTGAATCCACGTAAATTAACCATGACCAAAGTCTGGGAAGCTCAGACCAGAAGGAAACCCGATGAGATTATTTAGTTCTACCACATCAGAGAAGGTAACATTACCTTTCCAATGGATTGAGAGATTTGCTCCTTTCACAAACAGCAGAAACCACTGCAATCCTTCCCAGCCTCTTACAACCAGGAGTAGGTAGCTTTCGGAATTCCATCCACATGCCATAAGCATCTTCGTCAAAAAAGAGAAGATGCTACTGTAAAAACAGGTCTTTTCAAGTTGAAAAAAACCTACATTTGGTCAGAATTGTATATGAATAGGATTTTGTACTTAAATAGCAGAGTTTGAGCATTCAGCAGCGGCAGCACAGCTGCATGTAAGGCATTTGAGGAATGATTCGAGTACAGCTCACTGCCTTCAGCACTTCACTAAATTCAACTAAGACGAGCAACCTCTCACATTTTAAGATTATTACTAAAGCCGTGGTCACTGGAACCAACCCCGAAGGATCTGCGGACCTTCCATAACAACAGATGCAACACAAAGAGCGCGTGTGTTCCCTGGGGAGAACAGCTGCCTGCACAGTGGACTCCTTCGTGCCAAATGAGAGAGGTCACTGCCCTGGCAGTCCCTGCTAACTGGCCCAGTCCTGGAAGCGGAAGCAATCCCCGGCGATCTTCCACACGGTGTTGGTCGGGGTGGCCTGTGCTGTCAGCAAGAAGTTCTGATTGAAGTAGCGCTGCTTATCGCCATCAAATTTGACAGTCCCACTTGTCACCACGAGCACTGTTGTCTGGCCTTGAGTAGCTTGTTCTTCACAAGGAGGTATAAAATGATGAAGAAAACAACTCAAACAAAGACTAGCAGGTAAAGGAGCAGGAAATGCACAGAGAGGCTTCGTTCAATGTGGCTGTACCAGCGCCAGGGTAACACCAGCTGGTTCCACAGCGGGGCAGAACAGCTTTGGTGCCGCGTTTCTACACAGACAACGGTGGGTTCGCTCAACACGGCTCTGCAATGGCTTTGCCATTTTCACCTCCTGCTGTTCACTTAGAGCACTATGACAAACACCTCCATTTTTGCTCAGAATAACCTCTCATTACTTGAGATATACACACATATAGGTATTTAGCAAGTTGCATAGACTTTCCCCCCCCGTTATTAGACATTATATCTTTTCCACAGCAGAGCAAAGCAAGTGTGCTTGACCACAGGCTTTTTCCTTACTTATATTCCAAAAATGTCCATTAGAAGCAATTTATTAACTTCTCAGTTATGTAAGCCTTTCTTTAGCAGTTGTTAATCAGAAATCTAAAGAACTTAACATCTATTCTAGATGTAAAGAAATCAAAGAACACATAGGTTAATAAAGATTTGTTCCACGTTATACTGCAGATCAGGACCAGAGGCCACCATAGAGGTCTCTCAAGGACAACATAACCTGATAAGTCAAGACTTTTTCCATACACGAAAATACATAATTTCTGAATATGATCTTAACAAAAAAGTCCTTAAAATATTTTCCCAGACATGAGAAAAAGTGTAGAGTTGCTGCATCTTTTGATTTGTGCTTTATTTATGCACAACTTGACATTTCAACCCTTGGTATTTTCTCTAAGCTTATTCCAAAGGAAATATTAAGCCCTATTATAATTTCATTTCACTTTTAATAGTTAAAAAGCCCTGAAAAATAGATAAATTATAACACAACCTTACCGTGAACAGGCTGGCAGTCCAACACATTAACCTGGAACTCACTTGATGGCAACATTTCAAAAAATTTATTTAGTTCTTCTTGCCCAGACACTGCATTCCCATTCCAAACTAACGTGGCTTTGTCCAAATATAGTCTGGTTAAAGCCTGAATGATTATGAAAATACACATTTAGGAAAAATATGTAAACATACAGTGGACAACATACAAAACCTGCCCCCCTGTACTGATCAAACCCTGCTCCTGTAAGACACAGGTGCACACAAACTGAACTCGGGCCATGAAGAAGTGTAAGGCACTTCCCTTTTTACAGTAGGGCTGCAAAAGGAACATAAAACCCTCTGCAGGGCAGCCTGAGGCTCAGAGGACTCAGCCTGGCCAACACAACACATGGAAACCCACGTGCAGGTGCTTCCTGTGTAATGCCAGTTAGAAAAGTAATAAAAAGCGCACAAGACAATTTAAACTATTGTCAAAAATCTACATACCCTTCTCCTCTTATCCATTGTCTCATAATAAATATTGACAAACTCATCTGCAGCTCTACAAGCTTGATCCACATAGGTTTTGAAATCCTGGAGGGAAGAAATCAGATCAAATTATTAAAGTTACACAACTCAATCATGTATGCAATTTCTACTGCAAGTTGCTTTGATTGGTCTTTTCCATCCTCACCGAAGATGGTATCAAATAATGTTGAAATTTATTCTAAACTCCTTTTCTACTTGCAGCAAGTGCCAGCTTTTAGCCAGGTGACAGTTTTAGAATTAATTTTGAATGCTGATATATTTCTTGTATTTAAACTACGAATATTTACATTGGAAAACGGGCTACAGCTGGCTACAGGTGCTGTGGACATCAAAGTATTCAGGGAAAATAGTTGTTGCTGTGATGGCTGTTCTGGAATAAAGTTGAAGAACAAGATTTATTCAATATATTTCTGAGAATTAGCATGAACCCCATCACACTGCCAGCCTAGTCTCATTTTTTAAAACACCTTTATATACAAATACAAAATATAATGAGAGAGAACACCAACATGCTGGATGTATCTGTTCCAGTACCACTCAGTGCTGTATCCACAGGTAAAAACTAAACATTTCTCACACCTCATCACTTCCCTTACATTTCTCTACTTTTATTCATCCCCAGGCCACAGCCTGTGCTGTCCCATCCCTGCACTGTGATCTCACTGGGTTATCTGCTCAGTTTTTCAGCTGCTTGGCCCTTGATCTCTTACAGACCCTGAACTGGGACACTCTGGAAAACAGATTCTGAATTTCCTGTCCATACTGGACAGGTTCTGTTATGATAACTGCACTTGGTTCTGTTATGATAACTTGTTTGAGATGCTATTATTTATCATTATTCTACTTCAGCACTGTGCTCTCACTACCTGCAACTCAATCAGTGCTGCACAACTGAACTACTTACATTTTCCTGGAAGTCTTTACTGAATAGACACCAGAACTACTGAATTCCTCCAGTATCACCATGGCAAACACTTCCCTATTCAGAGAAAGCTCTACACTGCAAAATAACCACCAGGCTAGCAAATAATCCCTGTTTAGTCAGCAAAGTCAAACACTCTCATGTTACTAAGCTCTATTTTTTCTCTCCCTCTGTAGGGACATGAGCCTGCTCTTCACCTTCCCCAGCAATTCCCAAACACATGTGACAAAGTAGTGTCAGAGATGCTGTATCCCAGAAAATGCCCAGAGAAACTCCCTGGCACTGGAGACAAGGAGTGTCAGAGCTGGCCCTGAGAACAGGGACTGCAGCTCTGCCTGTGGTGTCAGAGCAGGTGCTGTGTCCCCTCAGCCAGGATGACACTGCACTGACCCTCCCCAGTCGGCACTAACCATTCCCATTTAGCTTCAAATAGATGGAATGGGCGTGAGGGAGGGCACTGTAGAAACACCAGGAGACTGCAACGAGCTGTTGGGGTACCTGGAACAGGAGTCAAGTAGGAAATGAGCTCTGATGGCTTTGATGCCCCAGACAAGGTTTTACAGTCGTAGCCCAGCACTCATTTTTAAATTCTGAGAACAGTTTGGGCTGGAATAAACTTCTGGAGGCCATCTGGTCCTAAACCCTTCCCAAAGCAGAGCTGACTCCAGGGGTTGATCCCCTTCCCAGGCTGTATCTGACTGCCCAGTGTCTGACTGTCCCGTGCCGCCTTCGGACACCTCCGAGGGTGGCGATGTCACAGTTTCCTCGGGCTCCTGTTCAAATGCCCTCACTCAGCAACTTTCCTTCCCAGCAGTTAAAAGGAAAGCCATAACTGGGAAAAAAACAACCAACCCCAAACAACCCTCTCGAATACTCTGGCGACAACTCCAAGCAGTTTCCCAACCTAGCCGGGCCCCGCCGACGTCTCCCCGAGCCCCTCCCTGCCCTCAGGCCGCTGTGGAGGACCCCACGCTGCTCTGGGGACCCTGGGCAGGGCGGGGTGGCCCCTGCCCGCCCCCCGCGCTGAGGCGCCGCCGCCCCGCACGGGGCCGGGACGCGTCCCGCGGCCTCCCCGAGCTCCCACGCCCGCCCTCCGGGCCGCAGCCCCCTCCCGGGGCGGACAGCGGCGCTCCCCCCACCCCGCGCGGCGGATCCCGGCGGTTCCCGGCCGTTCCCGGCGGGCCCGGCCCGGCCCGGACTCACCACGGACGCGGCCATGGGGCGGCGAGGCGGGAGGGCGCCGGAAGTGCACACGGGACAGTTCCGCCGCGCCGCGGTGCCCCCGCGAGCGTTCCGGCCGCCAGCGGGGATTCGATTCCACGATCAGTAATGCCAACCTTCAAAATCATTAGTTGCTGGAAATCCCCCCAGACAGATGATACTAAAAAAAAAAAAAAAAAAAATTAAAGCTGTAATCACAATTAAACAGGATGATGTATTTCTCCATCTGCATGGAGATAGGAAGTAATTCTTAGAAGTGACTGATTTAGAACTTCAGTCAAATGCACTCGAAATATCATAACTAATGATAAGTAACGATGTACCAGGATTTCAGAAATGCATTCAGCCATCTGGGTTAGGACAGATGTTGTTTTCGTCAGTTGATTGATTAAAATCAATTAAAATGGATAACAAAGTGCTGGATGATTTCAGAATCGCTGACAAAATTACGGATTTTTCTTGTGAATTATTTGATACTGGGCAAACCACGACCACGGAATGAAAATGGAATTCAATCTCCAACAGGATGGAAAGAGTTCACATTTTCCCACAGAACCCTCACTTGACAATTATGCACGCTTACATTAGTACCTATGCAAAAATGAAGACAGACTGCACATTGCCAGGCTGCCTTTCCAATGAACCTTCTTCTGTGTCACAGAAAACTGATATTTCTGTAATGACTTCAGTTACAGACTAAAATAAGATCTATGGGTCCTGATCTCCCTTGATAAAATGAATAGCCCTTAGTTTTGCAAATACAGTCTTGCTGGACTTGGATTAATGTTTGTAATTTTCAGGGGTTTATAATTTATTCCCCTCTAAGGTTACATAATTAACAGTGACAGATTTCCAGTTGAACATCCTCTATTAAAAGAACCCAACAAACTACAATGCTTTTTAATTTATTGATTGAGAATATCAGTAACATTACTGGAACCATAACACACTTGAACTCTGCAGCTCCAAAATCTCACTGCAGTGCTGTACACAACACTGAAGGGCAAGTCCAGGAGGCAGCAGAAGGCAAATATTCCAAATTTCCATAGCCATTCTACTGAATAGAGACCAAAGAAATGATCCATGGGCTGTATCAGTGAATAAAGTCAAACTGGTAGGTTCACTCTCTCATTATGAGGCTTATCAGCCTTCATGGATCACATGGTGCCAACAGCATCACTGTTCCCAATGTCCCACTGAGAGCTCAGAGATTTAGCAGATATGGTGACATTTGCCAGAAGAATTCCCTCAAGGAAGCAATTCACACGACCCTTCAGCTCTCAAGCTGCTAAAGCAGCATCTGTGAAGGTTCTCATGCAGTCATATGGGTCATGTGGACTGGCCTCTGTGACCACGAACCTTTATGAATCATGAATGGTTCTTGTGAAAGACAATACTCTCAACTGCTGTTTCCAAAGAGTGCAGTGATGCTGCCCAGATGGAGAGAAGTTTAAGGAACTGTCTCCTAAAATGAGGGAAGCAACTGGCACTGGCCAAATCCAGACAGATTCTGACTAATGAGATGCCTATGAAACTGGATCATGACTCAGTGTTCGAGGGTTTTGCCTGAGCAAGGGCTGAGTGGGAACTTGAAGATTTGATCTGATGATTTTAATGGGAACTGGGAGTTAAGTCTCAGGTGCTCAGCACATTGGCACTTTACCTGTAGGCTGGGTACAAAAATAATGCTAAAGCTGGAATTGCGATTTACTAAACTACACTGGGCTTAAGAAAGCCTTGTTTGGACAGTTCCCAACACAAAAGGCTTATTTCTCTGGGTAGACCCAGGCAGAACCTGTGCTTGTTACAGTCCCATAGGGACTCTGGACTATGCACCACTCCACCTCAAATTTCTATCATACCAGAACTGCAGGAATGTAATGACTCTTATCCTGATAAATACCTCTATTGTTTTTTAAAGAAAAACAGGACTTGCTATATATTGAAGTGGTAACTGTATCCACTGGGATAGGATGAGATCAAGTACAAATAACTGTTCCATTTTACTCCATGTCAAAGCAGTCCCAAGTGGGGATAAGTTTTCAGAACAGGTCAGTTCAAAGTGTCACCACAGTTGCTAGTTAAAGAAATTTTAAAATCCTCTTCATTTCATTAGTTAATGAAGCAGTAATTCAGCTCAGATTTGTGAAAATCTAGCCATACACAAGCTAAACATATGGCCAGATAAACATATTTGTGGGGTTTTTCCTCCAATATCTTTTCCCCTTCAAAAAAAGAGACACTTTTGAGAACAGTAAAATTTAGTTTGAAGTCAATTTAATGAATATTTTTGGATCAGCTATAGATGGAGCACTAACCACTGCATATTATAGATTTAATAGAACCACTGTGCAGAGTTCACTCATGAGAAGGCCTGAAGGGCTGGAATTATGGTTTATGTGCTCTCTGAAATTGTTAGCTCAGGTCAGCTTGTAGCATATTCTGAGCTCAGTTTACACTTGGCTTAGACCTCAGTGCTGGGCACTGGTAGGTTGCCCACAATTAACTGGTTAGTGGGATGACTTAACAACAATCAAATGCTAAGTAATATTTCTCCAGGCCAAATGTACCTGTGACCATTTAAGAAATCATTTTCCAGTAAAGAACCATTTACTTCCAGCTGGAAATAAAGAGTTTTGTCACTTGTTTTTCTTTGTAAATGGAAGAATTAGGAAAATCCTGTATGATTATTGAGTACATGCTTTCAGATGTTTTGCTTTTATTTCTGAATACTGCAAAATATTGAGCACTCTCTGATCATCTGACCTGTGGTTCTGTACTCAGCTGATCTGGCACAGCAGCTCTGCAGCAGGGACAGCAGTGTACCTCTCTTTTCGACTTTCCCTGCTCTCTGAATTATTACAATGGTACCAAATATTCCCTAAAATATCAGTAATCCAGTAGTCAACTCTTTAAAAATGGCAAAATTCCCACTAACTTTAGTGGAAACAAGATCTGGCCTTTGCTTTGTTTGTTGAGTCTGAATAGGGAATAAACAAAGCTGCTTCAAAATGTACCTTTAACCAGTACCTTAGTTCCAAAGTCCCAGTGCTCAAGCTCCAGTTTTAGCAAATATCTTGGCTAAATGTCAAACAATTCCATCAGCTCTTTGAAGGCAAATATTAGACAGAGACTGCATCTGAAATAATTTCCCCAAACACCATTCAATTAACCTACTTGGCTAAAAGGTGATGCAAAAATCAATATTTTGTAACAGAGGCATGTGTTTCAGAGGAAACTAATCAATAGGTATCAGAACAATTTCAAATTACAAACAAATATAGACAAAGTTAAAATATCAAGCAGTTTAGGTATCCAGTGCATTGCAACTCAAAACAGCTCTATTATTTTAGGCAGGGTATTCCTGCTGTTACAATTTCAACATGTCATTGCTTTTATTGAATTATGTTCCTTAAATAAAAATAAAAATAATTACTGTAATTTTGGGAGAACTCACAAAAGAGATGTGAGTTTCCCTGTTGGTCCTTCATCAGCTGGAACTGTGCATTAGATTTCCTCTGAGACAGCAGTTGGAATAGACCTCAATATTTGGAATTTTTCTGTTTGTTTTTCATGAGCCGTTTTTATCCCCCTATTCCTTCTAACCTTGTACATACATATGAGATGAAAACAAGAGGAGACCCATCTCAGAACCCAGATGATAAATTTTTAGCATCAGAGGGTGTGTGATTTTGTACCTACAGTAAGAAAAGTTTCTCATTCACAAACCTTTTAACAGGAAGGGCTGTCAGGGAAGGAAGAGCTGTACAAAATGAGCTGATTCTCAATTGTTTTGAGGGCGCTGTGAAGGCAACCCCCTCTCTGTGCTTCCTCTGAAGGCAGTGTAGACATGGAACAGCCGTGGAGATCCTGGAACTCAGATGTCCCAAAAGGCTGCCCCTGGTGACAAAACAGTAAGTCTGCCATCTTTGCTAGTGAAGACTTGCAAGGAGGGCACCATCTACTATTCTTTTTCCCAAGTATTCTAAGACCTGAGTTCGACCAAAAGAAAAATGTAAGATCTGATTGTGAATGTGCCCATTCCTCCAATAATTTTAAGGAATATCTGCTAAAACAGTAATGAGAAGAAAGGCTGAAGAGCAAGTCCAGGCACAAGCTTCCTTTTTCAGCTTTACTCTTTTATAGGTTCTATATATTTACGAAGACCCAAAGCTAGGTCATTGTCTAACCTCTTCTGTAACAGCCTAATCTATTTTTCTTTGAGAAGTTACAGCCTTTGGAATGAATCACACAGGAATCTTGCAACATTTGTACTGCATTTACCAAATACTCAGTAGGATGAACTCCCATTCCCACTGCAGTTATTAATAACAAACTCTGCATTGCTGCAGTGTAAATACTGATTCACCAAAGAACACTAAATCTGATTATTAACGCCCATGATTGCACTAGTCTGCCAAAGAGAAATATATTTAAAAAACATAGTAGTAAGTAGGGGGGGAACACAAGCTGTGAGTGATTTACAAGAACCTTTACAATTTTATCACCAAGCAGATAAGAAAGGTAAACAGTCAGAAAAAAAACAAGCCCTAAGACATTACATCAAAGTGAGAAAAGGGATTATCATCTTTAAAAAATCATTATCCATGTTGCTATTCTCTAGATATGAATATTCTCTTCAGAAAGAGGAAGAGTCAGAAACACGAGAGATTTCCTAGATGACCTTTGGATTTATATTTCAAGATTATTTTGTAAGGACACTGAGAGATATTCTTTCCTTTTGGGGCACTAAAATAGAACAGGTAATAGCAGGATTCAGAGCATACTTTTAAACCCAGTCAAATCTTATTCAGGGACCTGGCTGGAATTTACTATCAATCCAGGTTCAGTTCCCAGAAAGGAGGCAATTTCCTCTATAAAGGTTCAGCCATTGTTGCACCTGGTACAGTGTCCCAATGGGAAAATGAAGATACAGATAAGCTACCTACAGGTAAAATATTCTCTCTGCTTCTGCACAATGTCAGTTATCTAAAAGACAAAGTACAGGAAAAGTGAGCATCTCCTGTAATTGTGATTTAAAAAATCAAGGTGAATATGCTCATAGAATTATATTAGGCTGTGTCTCTAAATTCTTATCAAGATTCATTATAAATTGTCTCCCTTTTATTTACATTTCAACACATTAATACACCACTGTGC